TCCGCCGGAACAAATTTCATAGGAAATATGTTCCACCGGAATTTATATTACAGAAAATATGTTCCAGCACTGTAAAATTTGTTCCGGAACTAATTTTTTGGCCAAATGTGAAATAAGTCCGGAATAAAAATCATAGCTCCATGAATTTTGTTTCAGTTAATATTTTAAAGTTTTAAATAAGTTCCTGTGACATTAGTTTTAAACGGACATGTAAATATTTCATAGAAACTAATGAATAAGTTCCGCTCAATCATTATTGCACACCGAAACATTTTCTTATTACACTTAAATTATAATGCAAGCTAAATGCTGTACTGAGTGTACTTGCATGGGATACATTTGCAATTGAAGGCATGACTGTAACTATAGGATGAAGATAAGAAATAAAAGCGATGGTAATGTATCATAATTTGTATTTATGTTTTATGCGGTATTCCTCCTTGGTTCCTGTTAACTGTCATGGCCCTTTGTTCTAGTCATACATGTACTTAGGACATGGCATAGTTTCAAAAGAGTGTCTTTTTTTTTCTACATGACTTTTGATATTTATAAATGATCAAGTCACTTTCTCCTTTTCAAACTAGTACATATGTTCCTCTTAAACTATACTTTTTTCTGAATGATTTTTCTTATTCTAATCTTTTCTGGTTCAAAAGTGTCATTTAGATATTTTTACAGAGTATATAATTAAACATTTGCTATACTCCATAGGATCCAAACTGGATGATTTACACTTTTTATCTATTATATTATTAATATAATACTTATTTTTATAATGCACTTGAATGATAACTTTAAACTCACTGATGACAAATGCTCAGTATATAAGATAACTTGTTTAACCAGTGGAACATATTTCACAGACATGGAACATATTTCACCAGGTGAGGAACAAATCTCACAAACTCAGAACTTATTTCACCATGTAAGGAACAAATCTCATAAACCCGGAACTTATTTCACTAGGTAAGGAACAAATTTCACCAACCCGGTACTTATTTCACCAGGTTAAGTGTGGAACTTATTTTATAGAGATGGAACAAGTTATATAGAAATTACCTGTGAAAAAAGTTCTCCCAGAACATATTTCATGCGATATAAGTTCCACTGGAATTTTTTCCCCAGGAACAAATTTTGGCTCACACTAACACATAGTAGTCCATCATGCATTGCAAATCCATGTCCGTATAAGGAAATGTGCCCGACCTGTTAGATGCAGCTGCTGTGACAGACACAGCTGTGTTGATTTGAAAAACGAATGGACGGATCACAGCAAATGAACTTAAAACTGTACTTACTTTTTTTGATTTGTGTTTAAGTATCTATCCATGAATTAAATATGTTCACAATACCTTTTATATTAGAATAATTAAACGAGAGCACCCAGTTTAAAGGTTAGCATTACACTGTTACGGGTAATGTTGACATAATAACCTGTACATTATCACGTGTTACAGTTGACCAGTTTAGTCTTGTGCACTTAATTGATTTATTATTCCAAAACAGATGTATTGTGAACATATCATTAAATTCATGGATAGATATTGAAACACGAGAACCGAAAACAGCGAGTACAATTTAAATTGTAAGGGGGCGACCATTCCTGATTCAGTTAAAATAAGGGAGGGTGGCTGTGTAAGAGGCTTTTGAAATCAGCATGAAAAAAAAATGAAAATAAATATTTATGCAGAATGGTCTCAAAAATGCGTCCTCAAATAACAAAAAATAGTTGAGTAAGACCAAATTAATTGCAATTACTTGCTTCATTTCTAGTAAAAGAATATAGATCCCTTAACTTTTGTTATACGTGTTCAGGTAATAACAAAATCTAAAATAAATATCATTGTTTTAACAAAAGTTACTCGGAGTAACTTATTGAAAAAAAAGTAGATTTTTCACAAGAGAAATGCTAATGAACCTTAAAAAAGTTAAATTTAGGCCAACCCAGCATCATCTACCTGTCGAAAAAACACGATGTTTGTATGGTGCGTTTGATATCTGACCTACTATAATATATGATTCCAATAAACGTAAATTTTGCACATAAGACCGGATTCATATGCTGCTTGATATTTCCACGAGTTATTTTTTGTTAGAGTGATATTTAGATGTTCACGAAAATCTGATCGTTGGAGTCTTCGATGGGAATTCAAATTTGTTACGTGCAAAAAATTATGTAGCCCAGAGGACAAAAATGATTTTTATGAAAGTCCGGAGTTCTTATTACCAACAAAAATAAACTAAGTATGAAAGTTGATCGTAGGTTACTCTACATCAACCTGTACGAATACATGTTTTCGTATTTTTTTTAATGAGCTACAGAACGTTTGTGCAAGAAAAAAAAACATAATGTTTTCGTTTTCTCGATTACTTGGTGATATCACCTCTGAATATTCTCATTCTTTCAAAAGAAACTTTTTGTTGTGAGTATATAAGTATATTCAAAACAAATTCATATAAACAACGAGGAGCAAGTGCGGAGAACTAATTTTAATTAGATTGAATTGCGTGAAATCTTTGTTGTCGGCAGCCAGTGATACACAGGATAACATTTAAGTACCAAGTGTCCATATCCACGCAGTTATGAATTTCATTCTAAAATGTCCCGTGGAAAGAAGAGTTGTTGCCACGCTTAAGATAAACATACTATTTAAACAAAATTCGATATAATCGTCAGTTACGACCAGAATTATAAGTTTGAAAAAAAGTTTTGTCAGATATTTTAGATGGGGGTTTTGACCTTTCTGCTGATCAGACATGTTCACTCTATGTACACTTTCACGCATCATGCTTTTCAATAACATATGATCAAATCGATGACAGACCCCCCTAACGCCCTCAAAGTGTATCTAATATATGCAGAAAGAAACTTTATCATTTAATGAAGACTGAATTCCATTGGAATAAAATATGTGGGAAAAGATATAAGCTTACTATAGTAATGTATTATCTGCGCCAAGAAAACACCAGAAACAGAGTGTTTCTGAATCTTGATAATCCTGTCATCAATGTATAGACTTATATTTTTATTAACTACATGTAACCAGGGATAGTCTGGTAATTTTTAAAATTAAAGTAAATAAAGACCCATTAAATATCTACATGTCACTTTCAAATGTTATACATGCATTTGAACATTTCAAAAAGAAATAATATAAAATAATTCTTTGATCGTAATGAGTGTTACTATCTGATTCAATGCATGTGATTGAACGAAAAAAATAATAAAATAAATAAACACACAGTTAAATGTTCATGCTTTGAAAATTAAAGGTACTATTAAAACACTTACAGTCACGATACTATTCTGAATGTCAAGCAACAGTCAGCATAGTAGACACAATAAAATATGTTTTTAAGTATCCAATATAGTGATAACCATGTATTCTACTTACCAAACAGCAATAGAACTAAATAAGAAACATATTGCAAAAATTTAAAGAATGGTTGTTGATTTGTCTTTGATTTCACTTTTAACTTAGAAGATTTATTTAACTGTATGTAGATGATTGAAATGGGAAAAAATGGGAAAATTATATTATGTTTAAATATTGACGTAAAGATTTATTTCTGACTGATGCACTGCAAAAAGCCTCTTTTTGTTTACAAAATAAGACATCTTTTGACATAAATATAATATTGAGGGGCGGTAGGAGGGGGTGTCATCGCGAATTTCCGAAGAAATGTAGTATTCTTTCCCGGATCCTGTAAAATTAATCAGTAATTTCCGAATCCAAATAGGTGCAAATCCCAAATTCCCGCGAAAATAAAGGCCAAATCCCGGATTCCCGCAAAAATAAAGGCCCAATCCCGAATTCCTACAAAAATAAAGGCCCAATCCCGGCCGAATTCCCACAAAAAAACAAGGCCCAATCCCGAATTCCTGCAAAAATAAAGGCCCAATCCCGAATTCCCGCAAAAATAAAGGCCCAATCCTGACGTCCAGAAAAAGGCCATTCCGCCCTTTAATATTTTCCGGATGACAATTATCGTTATGATATAAAACTATCTTCTTGTATAATATACACTTTTTCTTATTGGCAGATGTTTAGCATACGTCAATGAAATGACAACCAATAATCAAAAGACATCTATAGGTAAATCCGAAATTGCCCGAATCATGAATGACGCCAGACACATGAACATTCGATCTTTTATAAACTGAACCCTGCTTAAAAGTTTAATAAAAAAAGAGGCGTCAGATACCAAGAGGACATTCAGAACTCATCAAGTCGAGAAAAACTAACAACGCTATGGCAAAAAAGGAAAGTCGACGAAAAGACAAACAAGTTTACAAAACTCAGAGAAATAAAAACCTAGCAACACGAACCGAACCAAAATCGGGGATGATCTCAGGTGTTCCGAAAGGGTTTTCAGATCTTGCTCCACAAGTGACATTCATCGTGTTAAGTTTAATGACATAAGGCCGTTATTTTTCAATATCAATTTCTTTAAAAATTGAAGGATGGTTAAAATTATTTCTACTAAATTTTGTGTACGATAGAATAGGTATAATTCAGTATTGTAAAATTTTGAGCCGCAAGACAAATTTTTTTTTAGGTTGCCACGTAAGTATATCCATGACATTAAGCCCTTGATTGACATACTGGAGATAACGAAATGAAGTTTGTGATCTTCTATTCTTTTTTATTTGAGGGAAAAAGCGTTGATAAATTTTTTAGATTATTTGAGTTCTTCTATAAAGTGGACAGAAAAAAGTATCTACTAAAAAAAATCTAATTTTGTAAAATTTAACAGTGTACAGTATAAATGTAACAAAACAATCATTTTACTAAAAAAAATAATAAAGAATCTTGAGGATTTGAAGCAGATAATATATATATATAATCTGTCTTATCATAAGAACAAGCAGTTGGTGTTTCCAATTGATACGCAATTCTGTTTTCAACAGCAACCTTACTGTTGATAATTTCAGATCTAATTAAAAAATCTGTTTAAGATAATTATCAATGTCAAATGTCTGTACATCCACTGCTCTCTGAAACAGGTGTTGCACTGTTGAATTCACATTCAAAACCATGGCTTCAATAAAATGCTGATAGATATGTTTTTTAAATCAAGTCGGTGAAACGATTTCCTTTTTGTATACCGATGTACGCATGGTGGTACGCTGTAAGTATATACTTTAATTAAGCCTAACCTATAATTTCATATTACACGGTTAGTGAATTAAAAGATTATAAATGTAATACACCTTAAGGATGACATACCGTTGCCGATAGTAAAAAAATTCAGCGTCGACGTGTGTTGTTTTATTATTATCAAATTGCCATATATCATTTAAACTGAAAGTTGACTTTATTTAAAAAGATCCCTATACATTAGCCAGTTAAATGTGAAGATTTGTGGCAATTCATTGAGGCGTATATTTATTTATTTTCATTTATCCTGGTATGTTTTATTTGTCAATGACTTCTTATATATATTTTCTATGCTAATTCAGGATTATGTAATGCCATGTCAACTTATTTTGGAAGTGGATTCAGCATGCAGTATACTAGCTACTCTTTTGATTATTTTGGCAAACCATATGTTCAGAAGTTACATTTGTAGGTGAATATTTCTTTTTGTGTTAAATCGATAAAAAATGGAGATCCGTGTTATATTTAGTCATCTTGAAAAGTGTTTGGTTATATTGATGATTGTTTTGGACAACTTTTGTGTGAGTTACGGAAACCAGTGTTCATTTCAAAACGGGAAATGTACTTACGAGATAAACCTGTCAAATTCAAATACGGAGTGCGAATCTAAAAGAACGAAGATTTCAATGGCAAACGAAAATGATCTATATGGACAAAATGATGAAAAAATGTCTCGGATGCAGCAAGATTTTCATACCGTAACAGAACAACATAAAAACAGAATCGAGGAGTTGGAAGCTTCTGTTCAAAAACTTTTGAGATCTGCCGTGGCTGGGCCTATAAGTCAACAAGTTAAAGCGAGACGTGTAGACGAGGACCAGGTCATTATTGGAACTCTCCCCCATGGTACTATTAACCATTCTGAAAGTGGATTACTTAAGAAACTTTACGATGAATTTTCAAATTTACGGACTCGTTTGCACAAAAGAACGTCACAACTTTTAGATACAGAATCAAAGTTGAATGAAACTACACATTTATTTACTAAAGCCCAAGACGAGCTTCTCGACCAGGGAGAAAAGCTGATGATTGCTGAACACAAAGTAGCGACAATGGAACAGGAAAGGTATATATTGAAAAATCAAGTAAAGCACACAACTGAACAATTCAAAGAATTACAAATTAGATTTAATGTGACGGATGCTAAGGTATTCGATTTAGAAAACCAACTATACACATTGGTCAGATCAGAGTCAAATTTAAAAGAAGAACTTGGACTATATAAATGGAAATTGTCTCAGGTGGAAAAAGCATATGGAATACTGCAAGGAAATTATTCAGGATTACAACAGAAGTTAACCAAGACAGAACAAACACTGCAAAAAGCTGAATTTGATCTAATGGAATGTTTTACAGGTGAGTCGTTATTGCAGATAATTTATCTGTCCAAACCAACGTCCAAATATAATTCAATGTTATTATACTGAATATTTGAATCAAAATTTCACTTTTGTCTTGTTGAATGAAAGTAAAACTAATAATACCTAAAATATCGTAGACATAAGTCAAATTATTATACATCTTTTGATGAATGCCTAAAGCAGTTGTTTTACCATCTGAATGTACGTTGTTTGACCTTTTTACAGTTTTCTTCTTTGTGTCAAATTTGCATCTGCATCTATTTGTAGAGGACAGATGATAAGATTAGTAAAATCAAAAACCTATACACGTATGCATTTCCATAAAAAAACAATGAGTCAATAACGATGAAAATCTCATTTCTTTGAGAAAAGTGTCTCTTATGATATGTATACAGCAAAGCCATTTGTTCACAAAGAATAAAGGTAAATCCAGAAATTTACTTTGACCCTGACTTTTTTATATGTTGCAGTATTTTACACTTTTCATCCTTCTTCCTGTAAATCTCAAATGTTGATAAAAATCTGAAAAGTGAAACCTACTTTTCCTTTTAACTAAATAATACGTATCCATTTGTCTATGTAACCTTATTTCCAGTTGTAACCGTAAGGTTATTGAGAAAACTGGAAATTTTCGACATAAGTAATATCAGTTTAATTACGAGAGTTGTTATTAAATGTGATACAAACTTGAAAAAATCACACCAAACACTAAAATAAAACTGATTTGAAAAATCTAATTCGATTAACAATGTGTTTATAAAAATGATTTCAACTGATCTCAGGTTTATTTAAATTTGTTTGTTTAGGTGTTCAGATTAAATTGTAAAGTTTGTGGATGGTAATCCTATCTTTCTTCAAAGAAACTCAGTGGAAACTATTAAAGACTTTGAAATCATATTTGTAACAGTAATATAATGGGATAAAATGTTTTGCTCCATGAAGGATTAAAATCCCTTGTTAAAAATCAAAGTATATATAAGTAGCAGAAAACAAAGCAACAAAAAACCCAAAACAAATAAAGGAAGGAATTGATAAAAATTCGAACTGAATTAAGTAGGATGAGATTGTTTAGGTGTTTTAAGTTCAGTTTCGAATTATGACTAAAACATTTACGATACATGTCAGAAAGTAAGTAAAACTCACAGACATGAACGACATCTTTAATCTAAAAAGGAGGGTAAAGTGTAGTTTCATTTTTGATATAATACTGTCATACTTGCATCTAATTCAAAGCTTGAATAGTGTACTTAGATTTACTGTCAATTGAAGTATCATATATATACTTCCATTATTTACCCAAATGTAGTTTTAAGTTGAGTACTGACAACATCAAGTGCAGACTGACAATATCCACTTATAATTAGGCATTTGTTGCAAATTAATTAAACATTTTTATAATTATACAATCCGTAATGACGCATGTACGCTTGTTTGTTAATAATTAATGACAAACATTAATTTATATTATTTTATATGTCAGAGCTATCAACTGGGTTTTCCAAGTTTTGCACTTTGAAAACCACATGCAAATTTCCTGACCTGAAATAATTCAAATAAAACTGGATTTTACAATACGATAAAAGGAGATCTAAGACAGGAACTTGATAATACCCCAGCCCAGCCCCTAAAAGAATAAAACCCCACACATTTTGTGCCTGTCCCATGTATTGTTGTTCATTGTTGTTTGTCTTGGTTTGTATGCTGGTTTTGTTTTAGAGGAGTCGGGTGGTGTGGTTTGTTGTAGGGCCTATATTCTTTGTTATTCCTATTATCCTTTTCAAGTATTACTGAATAGAACAGTTTGCATTTATTCTGTGATAAATTTCACATCTTCATAACGTTCAGGAGGAATCGACCTCAGGTCATTCATAACTCTAGTTCATTATCACAGAAAATGTATACGTATTCTTCAGAATGAATGCCCGTTACAGTTCTAGTTTCGTTTTATAACCGCCAAATATTCAAGATATCGTCAGGCTTAGAATGCTATATGCACCAATTGACAAAATGTTTGATGACTATGATAACTGCTATATTCTCATCAGGAATATGAAAATAGCAAGACCTATCCCCTCAGATCAGGAATATGAAAATAACAAGAACTATCCCCTCACATCAGGAATATGAAAATAACAAGAACTATTCCCTCATATCAGGAATATGAAAATAGCAAGACTTCTCCCATTTGAATCAGGGTTAGGGGATAGGGAGCGGAAAATGACTTGTTTGGATTGCGTAGAAAATTACAAATCCCTAATATGTAGCGTGTATAAATCAAAGAAACCAAAGACAACCTCATTGATTTAATATTGTGTTGAACACAATAACCCCTGTCACACTCTTTGACAATTGCCCGACGTCATCCATTTTGTCCAGGATAAGTACAAAACCCAATTATCTGAGGTCATATGGGATGAATTTTACAAAATGACCTAATGTCATAGACAAAGGTCGATGATCACGGGTCTTCTATATCAGTATACAAGGAAGATGACAGAAATACCTTCAGACCATTATATTATAAACTCATCCTATACAGCTTTACAAAAAAACGGAACGACTTAAAACATTTTGCAAAACTCGTCCTTTAAATGTTAAACAAAGGATTTCAAATTTTCTACTGATTACAAACTATTTTTTCACCTCCCTCTACGAACTCCGACTCGAAAAGAAGTAAATCTCATATGTGACACCTATTTTCACAATCCTGATTCGAAGATAGCAGTAATAATCATTTTTTTTTCATACGGTTCATATCATTCTATAGTTGACGATTTGAATATGTGGCGGTAAAAAGCGAAAGTAGAATTGTCATGCGGATATTTTCTGAAGAACACATTACGTTGATATTTTCTGCAGCAATGGAAAAATATGCGGTTAATCCACCATTTTCTACATGAGAAAATGCCTGTACCAAGTCAGGAATATAACAGTTGTTTTCCATTCGTTTGATGTGTTTGAGCTTTTGTTTTTTTGTCATTTGATAAAGGACTTTCCGTTTTGAATTTTCCTTGGAGTTCGGTATTTTTGATATTATACTTTTTGTTTGTTTCATATTTTCGATGCTTTTACCGATTTAAATAAGGAGGGATATTACCGTAAAATTGGTCATTTTAATACGCCAATAAACAATTTCCATCCGAGACTAAATTTGTGTTACTGGTACCCCCCAAAAAGGTGTATTACAATAAAAAAATAAATTAAAAAAAAGAACCACCAGATATCGCATTTAAATTGATGCATACAATGCATCATTGAACAAAACCAAATATAAACTGGCACTAAGGATTTCAAAAAAATGCTTCTTCTGTGTCTTGTTTCGTTGAATTTTTGTTTTTGCATCAATTTTGCCAATTGTTAAGGGACTTTCCGTTTTGAATTTTCCTTGTGGTTTGGTATTTTTGTTGTTTTACTTTTTTTTTAAATCTGGGACAGTTCAATATTGTTTTGATATACTAGGTCGTTACTTCCACTTGTGGACTATCAGTCCCAGGGGATACCACTCGCCAAATAGCCATTGGGGTTTCGGTACTTGAATAATATTAATATATATTTTGTTTGTAAATTTCCATTTCATACTCATATGTAATTGTGCTCAGCTAAGATAGCAACTCCCTCGTGCAAAATTGAACTTAGAAATGCTTGGTTATTGTAATTAGGCACACTAGGTTTGTGACCTCTCAAACGTTATAGTCTTGGTTTTCCAAGTGTTGGTCACGAGCGTACATGTAGGTATATTGTGTTTCACACGAATTAAAGAAGTTAAAAATCATGAAAAATATTGTTGAAAATCAACGTAGGCTTGAATTAAGAAAAAAATAATATAAATATAAATTTCCTTCCACTCATTATGATTTTTGTTTGCACGGTTCAACTGTTAATCGAGTTTGATTTATGTATAGTATTTATGAAGAAAATACTCTTTAACCTCACGCTAGGTAGTTAAACCAAAATTTATTTTGACGCAATAAAAAAAAGATGTTCTTTGAGATCGCTTTTATTCTGGTAAGCGATATTTAATGATTTTTGCATGTTTGCGGTAAGTGTTAACAAGCATAACGATAGAAAAGATATCTATGTCTTGCGGTATGTTTATCTGATGTTAAGAATTTACAGTAAACTGATTACCATACTTCAAGGTTTTTATTTAGATTATTTAAATTGAATATAGTACATTAATCTAGTATATAAATTATTTCGTTTGTTATGCATGCAGATCTTATGTAAATATTAGATAGATTAGATAAAAAGTTTTCCTCTAACAGACCTGTTGTTAAATTCTGATATTGAAGTTTATCATTTAACCCCTTTAACAAATAAATGGGATTTGATATATTCCTTTTAAAAACATAAATAATTTACATATTTTATCAAGTATTAATTACAAAAAATAATTCAACATCTTGGTTTTGAAAACGACCATTTAACTTTCAGGGGAAGAATTTGTGTGGTTTTTTTTCAATCTGATATTTTTTGTAGCACTAACGCATCAAAATATTTATTTATAAGAACGTAACATTAAATTTAATGGAAAACACTCTCCAATCAGAATATATTTTTCCCTTCTCCTTGATTATAATATTTAATTCGTAGAAGAGAGAGGCGAAAGATATCAAAGGGATATGTAAACTCATAATTCGAAAAAAAAAACTGACAATACAATAGTAAAAAACGAAAAACGACCAAGAGACAAACAACAATACAAAAAACACAACATAGAGAAATAAAGACTGAACAACCCGAACCCCACCAAAAAACCAGGGAGGATCTCTGGTGCAGACTTAACTGTACCTGTTGTATCCTTTTTTTTTAAGCGCTATAGGAAAGATGCGTTCAACAAATTGTCACCAAACTTTGAATTATTTAGTGAGAGGACATCATCTTTATATCGGAACGTGAAGTTCAAAAATAGTGCTAGTTTATTTTCATTCTTCCTATGGAAACTCCTGTATGAAGTCAGCCTCATATGAATAAAGGAACAAGTCAGCAAGAAGA